TGGTAATATATTATACTGACAGGGGCCTACAGTCAGAAACACCAACAGCATTACAAGTTAAACACTTTAGAAGGTAATATCAGATCTGTAGCCAATTCCATAATTACGAAAACGTTCAATCTAAATTGCAGTGGGTTACATTATCATTTCTCTGCATATATTTCAACGAAGCCCCATCAATTACGCTCCCTTAATACTTTACTTATAGTTCTACCTAAACCTAGATTCACAGAAGACCTGGCGAATGGTCAGACAGACAACTCCCTGGGTACACTACGGCTGCTTGTGCCTACTGTCAGGCTGTGTTGCCCTTACCTGCTTGTTTAAACGCTGGTCAGAGTTGTCTTAGAATGTGAGATTTGAGCAAAATTGCCAACTGGATACAGTACATTGTTATAACTGTTAAGCTAGATAGCAATTGTATGAAGTATTTCGACGATTATTGACTATATTATGTAAAAGTTAACTGAAGAAAAGGTAGTGACACGGCATACGTTAGCAAGCTTAGTTTGTCTTAATGGAAGGAAACACGTCTTCTATAAGATTCAATTTCGAATGTGTGCCTAAGGTATCTATGTCCATTTTGCAATATACGTATTAGCATATTAAAAGGGGTTTCGTTGTTGGAGTATTCGCAAACGTGGAACACGGCTGATTGGTCTATGAGTTTAAAAAAAAGGCTATTTTTTTTGCCTTAGCAATAAAGAAACTTTTAAAGGACTAAGTGTTATGTCTCGCTCCAATAGAAAACTTCGATTTAAGGGTTTTTTTTTTTTTTTTTTTTGTAGCAATATGTATAGAACGTGGTAGGTAAGTTGAGAATTTCTCTGCTATGGTAATATTTGAATGTTGATGTGAGTTAATACAGCCTATTCGCCGCACCTCACATTGACCATTCCTTAGAGAAAAGAGGGGAAAGGATATAGCACGGGAACTTACCGATTGGACGACTGACTCGACGTTACTCTCCTGCTGTCAGCCCCCGAGACAAAAAAGCTTAGAGTCCCCCCTCCCCACTGAGACCAGGAAATGGGATTATCAAATTTCATGGCATCTTGACAAAGAGTGATCCTTGACGGTAGTATTATATTATAACATTGACAAGCAAGGCGTTGCAAGATTTCGTCTAGTTACTTTATTTTGCTAAGCTTAATATCCCGGGTGTCGATACTGAAATAGTGTAGTCCCACTTTATCAAATACATTCAGGGGCGGCCCGTCGGCACGGGGATTGACTCACTAGATCGATAGGTATCCATACTGACACCTAGCATGGTTGTCGTATGTTGATGGCGAAAAGAAGTTAGCTAATAATTAACCGCTTCTGCAAATATATGTGTATCTTACAGCTGCATCCAACTCGATGGGAACCGGCTTTAGTCAAGTCGTGGATCGGCGTGGCGAATCGTTCTCTACTGTTCTTGGAACAAACTCTCTTTCTCTTTCAGTTTAGGGACAAATCTCCACTAGATAATCTTCCGCGGGACAACGGACTTGAGGCGGTGCAGTTAATTGATCTGTTTGAGCCGGGCATGTGTTACTCTTTTGGCTAACACTGCCTGTAGTTGTGGCAGCAACCAGGAAATCGTATCAGAGGAAGACGTGCCGTAATTAACTTACCAACGACTGTCACAGATCCAGAACGTCATTGATGTGACGTTAGGTTAGGAACCCAAGGAGTGAGGGAGGCAGTGACGGACAAGAAAAGAAATGATGTAGAACTGGTAAAGGAGAAAACCTATGTAATTGAGGGTGGTAGTAATGTATGGAGATGAGTTCCAGAATATGCCAAGATTCTAGGTTCCATTGAGAGGTGCCTCGATTTTCTCGAAGCAGACGTAGAACTGAATTTGATTTGCTGGTCGTTGTGCGATCATTTCGAATCCCCAGGGGTTCGACCGGGGAGGTTGGGACCAATTTGCGATCTGATCTTAAAATGAACCCTAGGAGCTGGGTATGTAAGCGCACGGACGAGCCGGTAGGCTGGAGAGCTGACAGGCCGAGGGACACCTACCGTGGATATTGAATGATGCCAATACCATGGAAACAGAACGATGGAGATAATCGCTGGATTTTATACTACCTGGGTAACTACCTAAGGTTAGGTAGGTGGTTACGTATCTCGCACATATGAAGCAGAACAAAGTCTACCTTTAGTATACTTGAGCAAACAGGATGGACGATTGGATGGCATGCGGCTCGATAAGTAAGGTTGGGCATTGTTGTCCGCATAAAATTGGACCGAAATGATGGCTCATCTCATTAATACGTGGGGAGTGGTTGCTATGGTGGGATTGGATATTAAAAAAAGACTCGCAGAATGGTGGCATCCGCTGCATGTTGCGCCTCGCGTGTTGGGTACTGGCTCCATGTATCTTTGATCAGCGGTCCTGCGATGCAGCACTCGTGATCTACATGAAATAGGTGCGTCAGGCACATTCCATCACAGATACAGGATCACAAGGGAGTTGAGATTCAACCTCTGCCGGGGTTTATAATATGCCAAAAGCTGGGTTGCGACGTTGATCTGATCCGGTTGGTGTTTCTGGAATCATTCTCGTAGGGATTTAGGGTGTTCTTCGAGGACACCTGCGGAACATGTATTGTACCTAATATACTGTTGCGAACCTCGACCAACATGCTACCAACATGCTACGTAATGTAGGAGGTGAAGCAGAGGTACCTACCTAACCTACCTAACTACCTACCTCTTAGGTAAATAGTAAAGTATAGTACTTATAAACTTAGGAGAAGAAATCGAAAGGATTTAGGTAGTTAGGAGGAGTAAGGCATGTAGTTGGGCTCCGTATAAAAAAATATTTGCTCGCAAATTTCGGTGCCTTACCCCTGGAGGAAGAAAAAAAGCTATTGGTATACTGTTGGTGTCTTTTATTGTCTCTCTGCAGCCGCCGTTTTTTAGAGAATCTGTATGATCTCGACGCCAATGCATGCATGTTTCACATCTTTTACTAATCCTACCAACCGTATATGGTGGCCGCCCCTATGTAGAGCATGTAAAGCTTCAACTACTCATTGGCGGAACCCCACAGTCCCCCTGCACAATATGGAAATACGACCAGACTAGACTACCGTGATTAATGTAGAGGACGGCCGCATTTAGGTCCTCTATGTGTTTTTCGGTTTTCTAGCAGTATGTTATATATTGGAGACGGATATGAAAAGGGTCACTTGATATTATGTCGATGAGCGGAGCGGTTGACGAAGAAGAGGGTGTGCTGCGAATGCTCACGCGGCTTTTAATATGTACCTCCTCATTCGGTAGCCTTGTCCCGTGATGAGGCCCGTGGCGAGGCCCGTTAGAGAGGAACTTCTCGAATAATACGTGAAGTAACTACTTTGAGGAGATGTATTGGCCTTCTCAGCCGGGTTGTCTAGATTTGCATTGTAAATTGTAAATTGCAAATCGTAAATTGCAATAAATCAGTCTGATAATGAACCACTTAAGTACTTACCTAACCTACCTAGGTAAATTGTGTATGGGGCCAAATAGCTTAGGTGGGCTAGGGGAGCAATGCCGGTGATACTGTGTATATAAAAGTGAGGCAGGTATCTGTCTCGGACCCGGCGGAGAGTTTGTTTTCTGGGAACTGGTAACGATCTGAGCGATCTTATAAAACCGTCCGTTATATATCTAAAGCAGCATGTATATGGGTGTAATACTATTGCGTTTTGTTGAATTTAAATATCTGGATTTATAATTTTTGTTCTGACTTGATGTTGATGATGACGATAATTGTTGATAGGGAAGCCGATCCTGTTGCCCCGTGCACCAGAGGCACATTTTTATGCCTACTGCTTTACATAGTAGGCCTTATTAGGGCTAGGTTAGGGACTTTTATGTGTGTATTGTTTAGGTTAGGTAGGTACTAGTAAGTGGTGCTAATACACTGTAAATTGTGAGTTTGCGCGGCACTGTACGTATTGTTGACTTAGGGGCTTTGCGGTTGGCCTAAGCGTCCCGAGTAATAGACCAACTTAAGCTCCGAGCACAGTATAAAAGTTCATTTAATTTTACTTACATCTGCATGTTTTCGTACCTCGTACTTTCGTAACACGTCTCCAGGTAGTGAGATTCCCCCCCCAAGGGCCCCCTAAAGTTGTAAGCGCAAATTGATAGTACATAGTACCTGAATAAGCTGGAGCACGGTACTTACTCCTTATCATTTTCAATGGAAGTCAATAATTTCCCTCTAGTCTGGGATTGTGTTTTTTTTTTCTAATATTTTTTTTTATCAACCATCCACGATCCACCTTCTACCCTATTACTAGCTCCTCATCGCCCCTGGGATCTTTCAAGTGCCAAGCTTCCATGCCTTGCTCTGGAAGAAAAATTCTAGCTGGCCATATTTTCGGCTTCTCGAAATTCTACAATACTACCTTAATTACTTATAGTATTATCTACCCGATGATCCTCACTGCCTCCTAAGGTATATTGCCGTATTTCATTACCCTTCCCCTTCCCATCTTCTTTCGCCATCATCTACCCTGCGGCCTCCTCCGAGCGGTACCTCCTCACCCTCTCTACTCGGACTCTGATTGGTCGCTCAGTCTTTGTCTTTGGTTGTATCTCATTCAGCTACACACAGATTTCAACAGCCACTTAAAGAGCAACCCCCAAGCCAAATACCAAATACCAAATACACTGGTTACCTATTTGATAGGCATCTGGCTTCAGTTCTACTTCGGTCAACTACCCAATCCTATCGTTACATATTCCTTCCGCCGAGGCCCTCTAGGCTCTAGAAGTTCACCCCCTGGACCGCGAAAGGTTCCCCGGTTGACCCATTACGCCTTACGTATTCTCATACCCTTGCTTACTTGCCTACCCCCCTAAATAGCCAGCCAACTTGGAAAATCGGGTTATTGGATCTGAACCTCCTCGCGCGTCGCGTACAAAACTATCTGTTACTACTTCTCTACCCTCAGATCGCTATAAACTTATTCATTCGGCCATAAATTATTGATTAGCATACTTTTACGACGACACTTTGCCACCAGAGCAAATATAGTTTTTTAAGGGTACTGTCATCCTCTCGAATTCGAAACTTAACCCTTTGTCTTTTTTTTTTTTTCTGGTGGACGTGGAGGAAAGTTAGAAAAAAAAAGAGCCAAAGAATTAGAGTCAGGGAAAAGAAAATCTTAACTTAACCCAGGTCGGGGTCCCTGCGGTCCAAGCCCGCAATTCTTCGCCGCCTTTTTTTTTCTTCAATCTGCCTTTACTGCAGGCCATTTTTTTTCTCCACCTCATCAACTTCAGGACAGGCCTGAGTCCCCTTTCTAGAGGTTTAGGACCTATCATATATAGGAAAGATTTGGCAACCTGGCGCTCAGGAGTTAGCTATCCGGTATTTGAGCTCCGTAACAGCATACAACCCGACTTGATCTTCGTTTCGGCTTCTTGCATTTTTACTGCACTGCCAATCCTGCCTAACTTTTTCAGCCAACCAGCCATAGTCATCGCTGCCCCTTCGACCGATACTACTCACCTCCTACCGATTTTTACGCACGAGTATTCTCGTCTCACGACGGCGCCCTGCCTCTCATCCTCCCTTCCCTGAAGACCTAAGACAGGTCTTAAATATTATAATACACAATCTAACAAGGCGTTTTTCGCCCGTTTATATACGCGTAGAAAGGGAGCTGCAGCCTGCTGGCTCCCCACAGCAGCTGCACCAGCCCTCAATAATACCATTGTGGCAATCATGAACCAACACGATATGTATTACGATTATTCGACGACGGCGAATAGGTCGCCTGGGTCGACAAGACAGGGTTATGCTACCGTTGGTTTACCTTCGGGATTAGGGGCTAATCGATCGGGTCAACGACCTCTCGAATCTCTTGGCCAGCACATAGCGCCCGGTTCGATATATGGACACGATGACCGTCTCGGCGGCGCGGGCTATGAACCTTTATCGAGATTTGATCGCGTCGCACCAAGCGCGCTGCAATCTGGCTACATGTTGGAGAATAGCCAGACGTGGGGTTATAACGGCGGAGTAGCCACTATGAATGGCCCCATGAATGGTAATGGTAGGTTAGCGGTGAGGGCTGTGACTCGACGAGCCGCTCTACCCACGGTTAGTGCTACTTTTGCATACACTACAGATGACGAGGACTATACTGACGGGACATTTAACTCTAGACGTGGACTGATCAATCCGGGTTGGGTGTACATTCGATGTCTCAACTCTACGATCCCGGTATGGCGATGAACGGAAATGAACACGATCTATCCAATATGGCTGGCGCTGCTGCGGATTCTCGAGGGATGATGACTACTCCCGGTGCGGCCGACTCTGAGCAACTTATCCCGACCGCCATCGTGATCAAGAATATCCAGTTTCAGTGTCGAAAGGAAATTCTTCAAGGCCTTATGGCATCCATGAATCTCCCTCAGCCGTATGCTTTCAACTACCATTTTGACAAGGGTGTATTCAGAGGACTAGCCTTCGCCAACTTCTCGACGGCTGATGACACTGCTATTGTGATCCAGAAGATGAATGGGTTGGAAGTTATGGGCCGCAAGTTGCGCGTTGAATACAAGAAAATGCTACCGCAAGATGAGCGTGATAGGATTGATCGGGAGAAGCGTGAAAAACGAGGTCAGCTCGAAGAACAGCATCGAGCGCCACTGCCTATGCACCAACAGAGTGCGCTACAAGCTCTTGGTGTCAGTGTCAACAAGCAGCCGAGTAATTCGCCTTTACGTAAGTTTCCCACAAACTACGTGCTCATGGAAAACGTTGTCGCTAAGTTTCTTATAGGCGATGTTGATTTGAATGATCCTACTACTCTCGAGTTCTATACCCAGTTGACTTTGTTCAAAAATGATCCATCTCGCGAAGTTCATATTTTCTCACCTGATGTTACCCCCGAACAGCGCCGACAGATACATATCCTTGCCCATAACATGGGTTTGGAGCATAGATCCGTCGGGGAGGCTGATCGAAGACAGATTCAGATCATGAAACGGCCTCAGAACTCACCTCCTGTCCACACCCAGAGCCAGCTCCCCAACGTTTCCTGGGAAGATCATCGGCGTGGGTTGAGTCGCGCCGCTACATATGACTTTACAGAATCTCGCATAGGTTCCAGTGCTTATCATGCACTAGGTAGACAGGGCCCTACGTTGGAATTGCCCGGCAGTCCAGAAAACGGCATACCGAACAATCTGAGGGCAGCAAAGAGCTTCGCCGATCTGCGCACGCACAGTCCAAGCCCCGCGCCGTCTGGCTCGAGCTATGCTGGCCTTGGAAACGGCCTTGGGGCCCGTTATGGTGATTTTTCCCCAAACTCGTTGACCACGCCTCCCAATTTAACCCCGACATCAGGTCAAAACGCTACATCGAGCACCGACGCTTTATTGGCAGGCAACATGAGCTCAATGAGCTTAGGTTTTGATTCGAATGCTTCGCACATGCGTGCTAGGGAAACGCCGGGTGCTATTGGAAGCCAGAGGCCAGGAGCTAACGGAGCGTCAAACCGCAACGCTCCCGATAGGCAACCGCGTGGCCCGGAATGGGGAGAGGCTGCCCCAGGTTTCAGTGGACGAAGTCGTGGTCATATGCAGAGAGGTAGCGGTTAGTATCTACGTTGAGTGCTTTGCGGGTTCTTCATTACTAACTAGGATCTTGCATAGATTCATCAGACGCAGGTCGCAGCTCCGGTGCTGCGCGCTTCCACTGATCCAACCACACTTCCATCCAGAATGAGAGGCGACTATATGAATATTCTTCGAATAATCATTCGTCTACTGCCTCAACAAACTTGCGAAGCTTATTACTACTTTTCGGGTGAGCCTCAAGGACATCGCTTTTGAAGCCCCCATCATCTGTCCAATCCGCCTACGCTACGAGCGTTAGATCTCCGTCGCAAGCACAACACAACGAGAGACGACTTATGACATAGATTTATTTACTACATTAACTTGACGCTATGCTTCAACCTGTCGCAGCACGATTCTCATTCCGACTAACGGTTCGACCTGCATTATTGCGTTTTAACTTTTCCCCGTCTCGTTTTGAACTACTAATATCTTGTAATATGAGATTTGATTTTGGAATATTGTTTTATCACCTTCCATCAGAGTTTCTCCGGCCGTCCTGGATTGGGAAAGAACAACATACATATTGTGGAGTTTACGATGGTGAAAGGTTGCAGTGTTGCATGGAACCGAAAAAAAATATAAGGGAACAATGAAATACATCGTTCCATTTTACAATACCCTCTTCACGATGATTGACAAATGAACCATCTCTGGATACACCATACAGCAATTTATGGGCGACCATTCACGGCATCACGACTCGAACTCCTATACCCTCCGAGGTGTTTTAAGGTCTTGACGGCTTTCGAGGGGGGTTGTCAAGCCTGGAGAACCTCTTTACGATGGTTACGCTGTTATGACGCATATGCACATCATTAGATGGCAACGCGATGCTGGCTGGCCAACTAGACTGGGAGATCCCCAACTAATTTATTGTTCTAAAGAGCATCTGCGGGGTGTCCCTGGCGGTAGGGCCGGTATAGCTTCGGAGCGATTGGAAATGACGAACGAAGCGACGAAGACGAAGACAGCAAGAGTAAATTCCATTGCTGAGCAAGGATTTGTTTTCGCTGGAGGGCAGAACAAAGCGGAGGCAGACGGAGAAGATTTGATAAAAATTATTTGCATTTGTATATGGTTATCTCGCGCACCGGTTGATGCTATGCCAAGGTTTTTCGCCTTCCTCGAATCGCCTATCATCATAACCGCTCAGCGTAATTCAACTGACTATTTCCCATCTATCGATTTATAGCTATCAACGGTGAAGCGTTGTCATTCAAGGGGGGGTGGGTAAGGATAGTTAGGTTTTGGATAGGGGAAGAAAGTCAACGAAACATGGAGAAACACTCGCTATAGGCGCTTTGCTGCAATACAAAAGTACTTGTTCGTTCTCAATGCGGAAAGCTTTATTCGTGACTGGGTCGGATGGCAAGCCTCTGAAGGTAATGGTCGTGGGCTGAGATGGAACCATAGACTGACGTTTTGCTGTGAGAGCACCTTATGAACTAACCGTACTGAATCGCGCTTTTCTTAATAGATTTCGTTAGACCGAATGAGGACCCTATATCCCGCCCCCTCGGACGAATTCAACCGATCGTCTAAATAGGCACTATTTTCCAGCGTACAATACCAGGCGAGCAGGTCATGCTACCCTCGACGGCAGCATTTCCACCTGCTTTGCGGCTGGCGGCTATTGCGGACTCGAGGATGTCGACAACGTCGGTGCTGCCAATATACACTTGGTCGCTAGACGGCGGTGTCGCTGGCTGGACCTGGAAGCTGCAGCTGCCCGATGCAAGGAGGATGTTGAACTTGTCGGTCGCGTAGTCTGCGAGGAAAAAGTCCCGCGGCGAGGAGAGTTGAGCGGTGCGTAAGGAGGCACACGAGTCGAGCCAAGTTGATGATGGTGATGGTGATGGTGATGGTGAGGAGGCGGAGATGGAGGCGATAGGCGTGAAGGTGCTGGCGCCGCAGTAGTCGGATGGGTGCGAAGTGTCTGCGTACCACGCCCAGCACGCCGGCGGGTTTATAGGGGCCTCGGCGAATTTGTAGAGACTGCAGGTTTGCGCTTCTTCGGCGCGGGTGGTGGGGAGACCTGCGGCTATGCCGGGTATGAGGAGGGAAGTGAGGATTTGTGCAGGGCGCATCTTGAGTTTATTGGGGTGGACTACTATTACATTAGATTAGGTATGTAGTAATCATGTGAGCCGGTTCAAACTAGTTGAATGGTAAGATTGATGGCGTCGAGGACGAGTTTCTGGGAACATTTTCATATACACATTCGGCGGTTTTCGTCAATGGCTTTATATAGGAGGTAGGTAACTAAAGGTACCTCTTTAAGGTATAGGTCAGAACAACCTCATATGGATTGCTCAGCCAATCTGAGAGCTAATCAACCGAAACTGAACGTGAAATATGTGCCAATGTGACCACTTTGAAGATCCGTCACGACTCCTTTCACCTCCTCCTCCTCATCTCACCTTGTTGTTAGGCCCCCAGCAGCCCGGCTTAGCATCGACGCACGGGGCTCGTCACAAAATCAATACTTCGGAGAATAAAAAAAACCCATCTCTGTCTGCGAACCTGGGAGCTGGGCTCTGGTTTTTTTTTTTTTTTTTTTTTTTTTTAATCCAATTGGCGGAGGGCCAATCGCGGCTCAGTCAATCAAAGGCGAGATGTGGTACTGACTATTGTTGGTGCTTGGTTTACGCTCGGCGGCTAAATGACATAAGGTACCTTGCATTTGGCTGCTGTCGTTGGTGGGAATGAGATCCAATAGTCATGGTTTATTTAATACCTTTTTGCTTAAGCCTTCGGCATCCGAGCCTTATGATGATGGGTTAGGTTTGGCTGGCTGGCTGTCCTTCACTTTCCTATAGGGGAGAAAAAAGCGTATGATATCCATCAGGTACCTATATCCCCAACTGCATGCCGTGTTAATCCTCCGCCCCAACCCCCCAAGGCTTGTACCTTTTCCCTTTTTAGGGGCGAGAAGTGTGCCTTGCATACCGAGCCTGCATGGCCTCGCCGAAACAATCTACTTTTTAACTTCGAGTCTAACATTTCATGGACAACTCAGCCAGGCCCATAGCATCATGTATATGAGGCCAACGGTATAAACGGAATGGGGTCTGTTGGGTGCAATCTTAGGATACCAGACTACCTACACCTAGGCGTTGGAATCAAAATAGCAACGGACATGTTATAATAATAGTATGAGAGGTCGCTAAAAATACATGTATTCCGTGATATTAGATTATAGGTATACATACATGCATATATAATTAGAATTCATTTTATATACATTGGTGAATCTTGATCTGTTATGCCCAGCCCATACCTCCAGGTGATGGTAACGATGCATCTACGCCGACGCGAGCTACGCCCCTGATTTCCCTAAACTCGTACCTAAGCCCCATCTCGTTGACGCGCCTGTCTCTATCCTTGCGCTTCAACGTGCTCAAGCCCTCAAAGCGGCTGAGCATCCACGAATCGCATATATAGTACATAGCTCCCGCGATAGTGCTAGGGTCGACGGGCATGTGCGGCCACTGCCAATGGTTAGGAATTAGTTGTCCACGCGATGACGGATGGGGGAGGACAGGATAGGGCAAGACAAACCGTGATAAAGAAGGAGGCTCCAACAACGAGCACCATGATGCAGAGGATGCCGACGGCAGCCCATGTGCAGACCTGGTGTAGTAGGAAGGTCTGCGTGACTCGGTAGGGGATGTTGCCGAGGAAAATTGTCAGGAACTCGGATAGAATAGAAGTCGACGCTACGACGGCAAGGAAGCCGTGGCGTTGTCGCACCGAGGACAGCAGGCCCGAGAAGGCGTTGGTCGGCGGCGCAAGCAGGATTGATCGTCGAGCGTGTTGGGGCGAATTAGCTAGGAGTTGATAGGGGCTTAGGATAGCGATGCCTTTATACGTTGTTAGGTTTTTTTACGCTCTGACTTGGGGGAAATGAAAGAGGGGATGACCTGCTGCTGAAGAACGAAGCCCAGAAGAAACTGATAACAACACCAAACGTGGTAAACAAGAACCGCACTCCGAACAACTCGCCATCCATAAACCGTTCGAACGCCGTGTCGCCGCCGGTCGTGTTGTAATATATTACCAGACCCAGTAGCCCGCATAGAATGAATAAGAACAAGCCTCGCCCAATATACCCTAACATCAGGAAGGGCAGATGATGTTTCGGTTTCGTCGGTACCGCAGGATAGTCCTTAGGCTCTTCACCATCACCATTATCTTCTTCGCCGTCCGCCAAACCGTATTTCTTACCGTGCCCATCCTCCCGGAGCATGACTCCGTACTCGACCGTCCCGTGCGGACCGTAGAAGTACCCCAGTTTAAACCAGCGATCCTCCAGAACCGACTCCAGGACTTCCGTCGGCATCTTCCCCGCGTCGACCCCGGCAGGCAGACCCGTGAACAGGCGGCGTACGTCCGGGCTCAGCGCCAGCGCCGCCGCGCCGCCGATACTCCAGGGGTTGGCGCCGACGCCGGAGCGCCAGCGCGCCAGGACGGCCAGCGGCGCGGCGAGCGCGAGGGCCATGAACCCGAGCAGTGCGGCGGTGGCCTGGGCCGCGTGGTCGAACACGCCGAGCACGTACGCGCAGTTGCTCGCGTCGCCGCTGCCCGCGACGCACCCGACGCCGCGCAGGTCGAACTTGACGGCCTCGGCGGACACGGGAATCAGCAGCGCCGCCGTCAGGAACGCGAGCACCTGCCCCCCAGCTAGCGACCGCAGCCCGGAGGTGTTCAGACATAAGGACTTGCGCCCGGGGGCGCCCCGGTCGTGCGTGAGCGCGTGCCACGGCTGCAGGAGCTTCGCGTTGGCGTCGAGGATGCGGATGGGGATCGCGAGGGCGAGGGCGAGGAGCGTGGGCAGGAAGCTCCCGATGAATTACTGCGCGCGGTTGATGTAATAGACTTTGGTTACTACGTTGCCTTCGTTGTTGTTGTTGTTGTTGTTGTTGTCGCCGCTATCGGGTGATGGAGGGGGATGACCGGGTACAATGTTTTTGTTGCAGTGGGTTTCCCGGATGAGTCTGTGTGAGTTACGATGGAAGGTGTGACGAGTACGCTGGTTTCCTGGGTGGCCGTAGGTCGGCCTTGAGAGTCGGTTAGGGTAGTCGTGTGGGGTGTCGAGATGGGTTCCGGGATACTCGTTGAAGTCGTGGTCAACCCCTCCGAGTTCGTTATAACGGTGACCGTGGGCGTCACGAAGGTTGGCGTCACGATGGATGGAGACCGTGTTACTATTTCCGAAACCGTGACTTTACCGATGTCACCATGATTTGAGGCTGGAGGTGACGCGTACATTGATGTCGATCCGTCATCGTCGTGGTGGTCTGGTTTTGTCGTTGTCTCTGATATTGTTTTCGACCCTATATCGCCATAATCACTAAGTCCAGGTATGAGCACCCCCGTTGACGCTGTCTTCGTGATAGTGACAGATACAGGTAGATGTCCGAAGTTTTCCTGGGACTTGGAGAACACTGTGATAGGTACAGGTTCACTGCTATCGTCAGCTGGTGGTGATGTTGTCGTTGGCTCTGCTGGTTCGGTGATAGTCTGATCACCAATGTTGCCGAAGTTCTCCTGGGGCTGAAGGTATGCTGAGGTGATTCCAGACTTACTAGTAGTGTCTTTAGACGGTGATGGTGTTGTCGTTGGCTTGGCTAGTTCGGTGATGGTCTGATCACCGATGTGTCCAAAGTCGTTTTCCGAAGGCGTTGCGAACAATGTTAGTGTTGTATCCTCCTCAGACGTAGGTGAAGCAGGCGATTCAGAACTATCGTCAGCGCGGTTCTTTAGAGGCGAAGGTGTGTCAATCGACCTAACATCCGTAAAGGCGATCCGAACGACTGTATAGGACGACACTTGCTCAACATCTCTTTTGAGATTGCCCGAGGATAAGATGTCCAGGTTGTTGTTGAGGACGGGGAGAGCCTTCAAAGCCCATACTACCATCCCAATGAGGGCTGATACTACAAGCAGTAAAATAACTAAGAAAGGCCATCTAAGTGCAGATGGTTTATAGTTGGGGCGCTCTCGATCTATTTCCGGCATAGCAACCAGAGTAGTCTCGCTATGGTTTATCATGTCGGGTTTATAGCCGGTTGAAACCTGAGTATAGTCCACCCCCCTACTAGGCCATGACCGACCACTGCTTGAACGCACTAAACCATGTCTTCTTTCATACGTGGGATCAGCTCTATCGTACTGTCGCTCATGCAGTTGTGTCGTATGGTTATGATAATCGTTATAGTTATCGTATGATTCATCAGAACGTTCCGGGCTCACATTATGAGTATGCGATTGGGGTAGTGCGTTAAACGCTACTCTATCTGTACGAGGCGCCGTGGTAATGTGCGACATGATGTCTTCTACCCTTAGTCTCTTGGGCGCTTTCGAATCATTGCCGGACAAGATGTGCTGCTATGTCCTAGCAGGCTTCCATCGATTCAAAAGAGAAGTGAAGAGCAGAGCCGCAGCTCCTTCATGTAACAGGAGAACGCGCGTACTTGATATCTTCTTATACTAGTCGAGGCGAAGCGAAGCCTTTGAGGCGCTTGTTTCTGCACTGCTACGTTAAACAAGCCTGATTCCTGGGCTATATGCTATATGCCGTGGCCCCGTAATCCTCGCCTACCTACCTCAGGTACCTATCTGACTGGATGGCAGCAGCTTTGTAAATCCTCTGGGGGGGGGGGGGGGGGGGGGGGGGGGGGGGGGGGGGGGGGGGGGGGGGGGGGGGGGGGGGGGGGGGGGGGGGGGGGT